AGCTGAACTGTCACATTATCACCTTTCTCGTTTTAGCCAGATTCTAAATCATTAGACAGCAATGAGCTAATTATTGTCTTAACTCCACGTGACGCCTTCCAACAATCATCCTTTGTCTATCACTTCTCTGACTCAAATTACCTCACAATCTTGGAAACTAGGACATACTATAACGCTCACTTTATTCTCCTTTGGAGGTGAAGTATTCACTACTGAACAGCCACCGTAAATACTTGCAATAAATTTTCTCAAACTCTCCAAGGCACTTTTAAATAAATGGCGAAGACGATGCTATCATCTTTACGCCTTCCTATTCTGAGGTGTCACAGAGCTGTCACACTCACACGTGACAGTGATGAGCTAGTGAAATTATGATACTGGGAAGCTTCTCTCCTTGCTCTCAAATTGCATACTTTATGCGTCCTCTTTACCACACAAGTGTCACGACAGATAAAGGCAAAGCCTCATGCTTTCACAATAACAGAAGCAAGAAGTCTGCTTTCCACTCATCCTCTATGGAAGGAGGCATGGTCTAGCCAGCCTTACTGCAAAATGTCCGCTATGAACGAGTAAGTTAAGCCAAAGTTTCCATCGTTTGGATTTTACGCTAAAACCAGGACAGACCCCACTTTAAACCCTCCAAACACCCTAAATCAGTCCTATTTGCTAACTAGTAAACTTACTGAGCAAAAAAGGCTCTAAGTGATTGCCTTATTCTACTTTGTTTACAAGGAATTTGCCTAGTCTTAAGTGAAAGACTTAGATGTCGTGGAAGGATGTCTTAACTGCATCTCAAGGGACTTCACTTTGCTAGTCTCAACAGCATTTTGACCGTTCGGCCAATCACAGCTAGGAAGTGATCAGCTCGCGTGAGTCATATTCCCTTGACAGAAGTCAAAAGTTGCATTCTCTCATCTTTCAAGAACATTAAAAAAATCCACTAATGATCCACTGAGGAGAGCGCATAAAGCGGCTTAAGGCTCAACGACAACCAATGAAATTCAAGATATTAAGCGGACCAATCAATATAGAGGATTAAGGAAATGACAAAAAATGACAAAAGTGGGATGCAGAACTTGTCAAACATGTACGTCAAAAGGCGGTGGAGTTGACTACTTTTTTTGATTTGTTCAGTCCATTCTATTGAATGGAAGAAGTACATATTTATGATAGTGTTAATAGTTTTTTAGCTCATGCACGATCTGCATGAAAAGTGGTATGGGATACACGTTGAGGGTTTGAGCAACTTCAATTAAGCGTTGATAGCGGTAAAATGTAGCCAATGCAAAAATAGGAAGTCAAATACAAAGTGCTTTCCTCTTCCCTTAAATATACATTTTACCACATTTTAAATACTCCTTCTGGAATTTTGTCCTTTTTGATCGACCTCGATGGCTGCGATGTTGAGAGGAATGTTCGAATGTGTGGGATGTGAGTTGGTGGATTTGCAAGGAAGGTGTAGACACGATATATACCTCAAGACTTTTGATCAGAAGCTAATAGATATACAAGTTTCATCTTCACCTTGCATTCCTGCCTTTAACTAATCGTGATGGCTTAGCGGGAGGACTGCTACCAACCCACTTACAAGGTCATAATAGCACAGAGGAGGCGTACTTTTCTCATCGACACAGACAAAAAAAACTGACACACACACAAACACACAGTTGCTTGCATGTTCGGTCTCTCTGCAGAAGGTGGTGTGTGCGTAGGCCAAGGCCTCCAACTTGGACAAAGGTGAATGCACCTCCCTACCGGAAGGCAAATTTTAACCCCTTTTTTTTGGCACAGGACTTTAAGGCTGCCCAACCCACTTTGAGTATGGTCGTCTGATGTAGATAGCGAGGAGAGAAGTAGAAAATGCGAAAAAAAGGAGGCAAGAAAGTAGAAAGGGGCACAAGACCGGAGGTGTCTTACTCACTCATCTGGCACACTTTCCTTTCCCCAAGGAGGAAGGCGAGTTTTATAGGCTATGTCGGTGTTGGTTTTTCTATTCTTTGGGAAAACATTTGACTGAGGAGCAAAAGTAGGGAAGAAAAAAGGAGAAGGTGGATTCATCACCTGGTCGTAGCAATTAACTCCAGGTTGAAGTACACACGCATTTGACTGCCATCTGGGTAGAGATGCGAAATCAATGCAAATTTCCTTTTTCCGAGAGAGGACAAGAGGTCATAGTACAAGCGGAACTGTGAAACTATTGCCAAAGATGCGACAGTATTAAGGAGTACCTCCTCCTCCTCCTCATCCTCCTCCTCCTCCTCCTCCTCCTTCTCCTCCTCCTC